GTTTGTTTAGTATCCCATTTAATAATAAAACGTTTTGAAAACTGTTCGGATTGTTTCTATCAAAATAATGGTTAAGAATGGCTTCGCTCGAATCAATAAATCTATGCAGCTTATTAATATTTCCGTCAAAATGAGGAATTATGTTAAGATTGTTCATTTCAAGATTAGGTACTCCGTTGTTACCTACTGGGTTGTTTTGGTTATTCATAATTATTTCTTGATTTGATTTTCCCTTATTATTACCTTTAGACTTTAGTTTTTTGTCGATTAGACTTAATCTATAAAAATTATTTACCAATTCGAACTCTTCACAACTATTGCTGTCACTTAAGGATTCAATAGATGGTAAAGAGGAGTCTGACATGAACAAAAATATTATACGCTTACCACATCAAGCCTGGTTTAATTGGTCCCTCTGGTTGGATTTCCTCGATGGAGTCCCCAGCAACTGTAGATTACGTCGATGTTCGAATTTTCCGTTTAAGAGTTGAAACTCACAGAATTTCCACGATGGATTTCCACGGAAAATCCTACTGACTGCGCCACTTAAGTTCTCGGTATTAAGAATTCGGTTTTTAAAAAAAGTTTATTTTAAATTGTAAACCGTTTTATTCACTTTAGTTATTTATTTATTACAATTTTATTTAATGAAATTGGACCGAACCGAACAATAGCTAGAATCAGACTGAAAATTATTAATTAGAAAATTATCGATTAAGTGAAATTAAGTTAATATTGCTGAAGTTGCGTCTGGGCGAAGGTGCATTGGGTTGCTTGATCAGCGCTCGTGCATCCGGTTCGATTATTGAAGGTACCAATGGGTTCAATGTCCATAACTCGTGTCTGCCGTTTGAAATTATTTTCTATCTATTTTATTCTGGCTTGTACGATTTTTTTGTATTTTTCATTACTTTTACTCAATAATATCGCCTAAAACCAGGTTCTTCGTAGTTTTTTCAAATTCTTTCTGCATATATGATTTTATTATTACTTTTTAACGTGTCTGCCGTTTGAAATTATTTTCTATCTACTTTATTCTGGCTTGTACGATTTTTTTGTATTTTTCATTACTTTTACTCAAATAATATCGCCTAAAACAAGGTTCTTTGTAGTTTTTTCAAATTCTTTCTGCATATATGATTATATTATTACTTTTTAACGTGTCTGTTGTTTGAAATTATTTTCTATTTTATTCTGGCTTGTACGATTTTTTTGTATTTTTCATTACTTTTACTCAATAATATCGCCTAAAACCAGGTTTTTCGAAGTTTTTTCAAATTCTTTCTGCATATATGATTTTATTATTACTTTTTAACGTGTCTGCCGTTTGAAATTATTTTCTATCTATTTTATTCTGGCTTGTACGATTTTTTTGTATTTTTCATTACTTTTACTCAATAATATCGCCTAAAACCAGGTTCTTCGTAGTTTTTTCAAATTCTTTCTGCATATATGATTTTATTATTACTTTTTAACGTGTCTGCCGTTTGAAATTATTTTCTATCTATTTTATTCTGGCTTGTACGATTTTTTTGTATTTTTCTTTACTTTTACTCAATAATATCGCCTAAAACCAGGTTCTTCGTAGTTTTTTCAAATTCTTTCTGCATATATGATTTTATTATTACTTTTTAACGTGTCTGCCGTTTGAAATTATTTTCTATCTATTTTATTCTGACTTGTACGATTTTTTTGTATTTTTCATTACTTTTACTCAATAATATCGCCTAAAACCAGGTTTTTCGAAGTTTTTTCAAATTCTTTCTGCATATATGATTTTATTATTACTTTTTAACGTGTCTGCCGTTTGAAATTATTTTCTATCTATTTTATTCTGGCTTGTACGATTTTTTTGTATTTTTCATTACTTTTACTCAATAATATCGCCTAAAACCAGGTTTTTCGTAGTTTTTTCAAATTCTTTCTGCATATATGATTTAATTATTACTTTTTAACGTGTCTGCCGTATGAAATTATTTTCTATCTATTTTATTCTGGCTTGTACGATTTTTTTGTATTTTTCATTACTTTTACTCAATAATATCGCCTAAAACCAGGTTCTTCGTAGTTTTTTCAAATTCTTTCTGCATATATGATTTTATTATTACTTTTTAACGTGTCTGCCGTTTGAAATTATTTTCTATCTATTTTATTCTGGCTTGTACGATTATTTTGTATTTTTCATTACTTTTACTCAATAATATCGCCTAAAACCAGGTTTTTCGAAGTTTTTTCAAATTCTTTCTGCATATATGATTTTATTATTACTTTTTAACGTGTCTGCCGTTTGAAATTATTTTCTATCTATTTTATTCTGGCTTGTACGATTTTTTTGTATTTTTCATTACTTTTACTCAATAATATCGCCTAAAACCAGGTTCTTCGTAGTTTTTTCAAATTCTTTCTGCATATATGATTTTATTATTACTTTTTAACGTGTCTGCCGTTTGAAATTATTTTCTGTCTATTTTATTCTGGCTTGTACGATTTTTTTGTATTTTTCTTTACTTTTACTCAATAATATCGCCTAAAACCAGGTTCTTCGTAGTTTTTTCAAATTCTTTCTGCATATATGATTTAATTATTACTTTTTAACGTGTCTGCCGTATGAAATTATTTTCTATCTATTTTATTCTGGCTTGTACGATTTTTTTTGTATTTTTCATTACTTTTACTCAATAATATCGCCTAAAACCAGGTTCTTCGTGGTTTTTTTAAATTCTTTCTGCATATATGATTTTATTATTACTTTTTAACGTGTCTGCCGTTTGAAATTATTTTCTATCTATTTTATTCTGGCTTGTACGATTTTTTTGTATTTT